TTTCGCAGATTTTTTAATAAGGTTTTAATATAATTTAACCAAGTTTTACTTTTACCATTTAGACGTTTGTCTAAACTTTTGATTTCGTCTAGCAACCTTAGTTGCAACTAATTTTAGCTTATTTTGCAACAATTTGTAAATTTGAAATCAATTGCTGTATCATCTTTAATAACATTGTTTGATCTTTGTAAATAAAGGTACAAAAGACATTGGAAATTTAAGATGAATTGATTATGAAAAGAATTCGTAATGATGACAAATCTAAGCTGATAATAGAAGAAATTAACTTGACATCAAAGGTTAGTAATGATAAGAGAGTCAGTTAAATTGATTTGTTGAAAGTGTTAGATCGAGAGTACAGATTTTTTATATATAAAAAAAAATAAAATAAAATTGCTGATTTATGATTAGAAGTTATTTCAGGTGAAATATAAACCTGAAGAATTATTAAAGACCATTATTTGATTTTCAAATTGCAAAATAATTACTTGAAACATTTATGAAAAAATTTATTAATTTTAAATAAAGCGATATTAAAAATTTAATAATAAAATTGAACCAATCAAAATTAATTATTTTAGTGATAATTAGGAAAAGATCTATAAAATGTCTGCTATGCTTGTAAAAACTTATATATAAATATCAGATATATCTTTTTTAAGTACTAGGTAACGGGAACCGTTAGGAATATCCGAAGCGTTAATCAACATAAAAATATCTTTAATACTGTTTGTTTATAAAGTTAAAAATACAATTAATTAAAAAAAATGTCTGTATTACTAAATTAAAAATTATCAATTCCTAACTTTATTAGAATAATTTAATCGTGTTCTATAATTGCGTCACGTTGATCTTTTTTAAATAGTTAAATAAATGTTCGAAAAACTGAAAAAATTAAGTGTTACACAAAATGATTGACAGAAATGTGATTGGCAGATCACGCGTCGTGACAGACACCACATGCATAGTTTCAGCTCTAACCGGAAATGTACGGACAATTAGAAATTAGCGTCATGTTGATAATATGATAGTATCACGTGATTTCCTATACATAATTTTATTTTTAAATAAAAGTGATGATAATAAAAATAACTTGGCTAATACTGAAATTTTCTCTATTCCCATTAATTTCTGCACTTCTGTCTAGCAAATTAAACCAGCCAGTTAGCCGATTTTCATAAGATTGATATTGCACTACAAATTTTCATTTTATTCTATATAATTTTTCTTTCTTTGATGATTTTCGTATTGCCTGTACGAGGCTTGTTATGATTTATCCTTGAAAAAACTCGTAAATTGTGGGCGTTACTATAGCGCGCACTTCTTTTGTTTCTCACTGATTGGAATTCTTGATCAGTTCAGTGTCTCTAACCATCAACTACACATATATACAACAGATGAAATCACTAAAAGCCAAACCCAAAGTCAAATAGTTATTACTTACCACCCAAGTCACAACTGCCTTAAAGGAAGATGGGAATAAATTGATCTCTTCTAGATCCGTTGGAATTTCGCACGTTTCAATTTCAAAAAGCCGATATATTCCTAAAAAAAATTCGTTAGCAAAGTGATTTTTCTTATAATAACGTTCGTATATATACATGTACATACCCAAATAATTCATAAAATAAAATCGAAGACTTAGTCCGATGATCTGTACCATAAAAGCCTTAAATTGCAGGGGCGGTGCTCGTTTCAACTTGACTTCAGATACAACAGTGTAATTTATTATATCTTTTCCTGCTCGTGCGTTTTGAACATAATCAGACATTTCTTTCGTGTCATCAACAACATAAGGCCTGGAACCTTCTATTACGCAAATTTCATACTGTTTCTTGGTGGTGTATGCAATTCCATCTGAGCGGTCTGCATTCCCGTCTTGTTTCATTATCGACTTCCTATATGCAGATGCTTGAATTGCCTTGTTTCCCCTAAACAAGTCACAAGTAAATTTAACACAGCAATAAAGGATGTTAAAATAATTACATAATACTTACGGTATATAACGAATATCTGAAAACCTCCACAGTGCCTTTTTTAGAACTGGATGGATGTACGTATTCATAAATTCATCTTCCAGCATATCATGGTTCTTGAGAGGATTGTCATGTAGCAAGGAATACGCATCAAAGCTAAAAGATAAATAAGAATGTTAATAAATCCTGGTAAAACCGAGAATGAAGAAATTATACTTGCAAGGTTGGTAAAGTTTCAAATATAAGTCTCTTCAACTTTTTCAAAAATGGATCTTCCTCCGGTTCCAATAAACTATCCAGCTTGTTATCCCATTGTTTATGGGTACAATTCTGCTAAAGAAATAAACAGTTGATGATGTGATTGACAAGCATAAAGACAAATTACCACAGGATAGTACAAAACAATACCTCTGAAAAAAACACATCAAGAAATTCAATCGCACTTTCAGGAAACAACTTATCAACCGGCTCAAAGGTCTCTTTAAGAACTTGCATGTAATCATCCTCATCTGAATATCTTAGTACGAACTCCGAAGACGGGGTTAGGTCCATAATTCCAAATCGGCACAGTACCTTTGAAAATTGCGTATTAAATTATTTGTTTTCTCAGAGTACTGTTGCAGTTCATCGAGAAGATTTTTAACCAGATTTTCGCTCTGTGGAATTCATTTAGATTCTTAATTATAATGACAAAGTGGTTTGCAATAAACCATATAACTACTCGATTATTCACCTCTTCATGCTTGGTTTCTTCCATACTATTATTACTTGCTTCTCCGTTGGTATCGTCCATACTATTATTACTTGCTTCTCCATTGGTATCGTCGCACTATGGTGAAAATATTTTTAGCTTAATACTATGAACACTATAATATATTAACCGATTTCCTACCTTGCTTTTTTTCTCCAAACAGTTTATATCACGTGTTTCTATTGTAGGAAGGGATCTTTACGTGGACAGAATTAATTTAGATAACTCATTGAAAAAAAACTATATGGTATCCAAGAAATACCTTTTTTTTTTCTTTCAGATTCGCTGATATTATCGACAAGAGTTTTCTTGATATTGACCTGAAAATTGAAAAATTAGAGAAAATCTGTAAATAAACGAGATAAAAGCACTTCTAAGTTTAAAAAAAAATTTTAAATTACCTTTGCCAATATTTCGCTGAGTGAAAGATGAACCTATGATGACGCGATCTCCTCACTTCTCTCCCAGATAATTTTATGGATCTCCGATGGATTGTTCTCAATTTATAAAAAAAAAAATAAGATTTAGGACAGCTCCAATATTAACAGTTATTTTACGTGCATGTACAATGAGGTGTACACGTGAAAGAGTCATTTATATTAAACGAAACCGCCACGCTTCTCTTCCCCATCGGGATAAGAAATCATCCAACCCTCCTCGAAAGCATCGAGGGGCGTAGTACACCCAATATTCATCATGTACACGTGAAAGAGTCACTTGTAGTAGGTGAAACCGCCACGCTTCTCCTCCCCATCGGGTTAAGAAATCATCCAACCCTCCTCGAAAGCATCGAGGGGCGTAGTACATGAATCCTTGCAATACGGATCCTTGCTCAATAATTTTCTTCAAATAACACTAACCTTTATTTGCTTTTGTAACGCTTGTGCTTTATTCGCTATCCTTTGATCTGAACTCCTCGCGAGTATGCTTAACTCATTACCCAGTGAAGCGTGAGCTTGAGCTGACCTATGATGCAAGCGTGGTTTTTGTTGGATCCAATTAACATCAAAGGATTCGATCGACCAGTCCTCGACGCTGGTGTTTGTCCAGTATTCTGCAAGTAAAGAGTCATGAGCAGTTTAAATAACATGCAGGCTCCAGTATAAATAAGAGACTAGACTACCTTCATGAAGAAGATTTTTCGACATCGTTAGAAAAAATTTAAAATTCCCAAATTAATTTTCAAGTAGTTGAGGTGAAAGAAGTGGGGAAGAAAAAGTATTGTAAAGTAGTTATTAAGTTTGAGTATAAATTTTTTCCTGAATGAGATTAAAAAAGTAGAGAAAACTCAAAACTATAAAAACCTTTTACGTAAAATTATATATAATAGGTATTACGCGACGCGACCAACACGTGTTGCCAATCAAATAATATAAGCGATCGATTACATCTTGTACGACTCCTGATAATCGATGAATATCTAGCGTTGAGATTTTCTTTACTATACCCATTTTATCACGTCATTCCATCGTGAACCTCGTTGTTGTAATAACTTTATAACACTACATTAAATAATTGAGATAATGACTGATTTCTGTCCAAGTACTGATTTTGCATATAAATGTTTCTTTTGTGTTATTAGATTCCATTAATTGGTTTGATTTTGTGAAAGAATTCAGTGGGACAATGGTTGAACTATTGATCTATTTTTCGAATGATTAGACTCCATTCTAATAATCTATCCTAAACTTTAATAGGACTCTCAGAGTGATTGTTTTTTTCTAAAACGTCAAGGAGGATTTCTTGTTTGATGGCCGTAAATCTTCTGCCATAAATATTAGGGAGGGTCTTGTTCAAAATTAACCTCACAGAATTTAACCAATTTACTAAACTGATTATATTCGCTTGAAACACTTTTGAATGAGAATAAAATTTTGTTTAATAATATTTCGTCACTAAAAGATGTAAATTGCATAGGCCGCTAAGACATAATTCATCGGCAGCAATTAAACGTGCAATATTTGTTTTAATATTGTTGCAGTAGAGGTCAATAAAACTATATGTACCTATTAATTGTATAAAAAATGAATTAGTTTTTTATCTTTACAAAAGTACCAATGATTGAAAATAGTTACTTTATAAGAATATCGAATACTTCAACAGAAATATCCGATTTTTGCAATTAAATAACGTTATTTTCTATTTTTGAGAATCTTTTGTATCGGGCTCTTCTCCAATCAAGATTTCTGTATCAGAAAATTCATTAGAATTAAGAATATCGTCATATTCACTATGCAATAAATCTGACAGTTCGGAAGACAGACGCAACCTACATCATATAAGTAGTAAAGGCAATGATGTAGCAATAAATAATAAAACATAATGTAAAGCGTGGCAAGTTTAATATTTTGTTTAATCTCAAAATAGTTAATCATACGAGTACGATATAAATAAATGTTTCACAAACCATCCTAGTACAAATTTCCAAATTTGATGAAATTTGACGTAATTGATCAAAGGGCCAGAAATTACGTTCATAAATCATAATTTATTTAATCATATCATATTGATATCTTAATTTCATATCTTATCTTAATTCAATTTCATCATTATTTCTATTTATACCTGTTCTTTTCTCAAAATTTGAAATTAAATAATATAGATATATTTACCATATTCTTCCGAAAATAAGCATCATATTTACTATAGTGTTGCTTATTTTCGGGTAGTTTATTTTTTTAATTAAAAATTTCCCAAAGTTCGCTCAACCTATTTTTTTGACATTCTCATGATTTATTGTGATCACTGATTATTTAATGCATTGTGTGAAGTTGTGAATTGGTTCAAACCTTTTTTAGATAAGACCTGTATATATGGGAGGCGGTCAGTAAAAAAGGGGAAAATCTAAATTTTGGTCAAAATTTATATTATTAGACCACTTGGCTAATTACGATCATGTGCACAAATTTGGCTTAATAATAAAAATTAACAAAAATTTTGGATTTCCCCCTTTTCTACTGACTGCTTCCTATATAGTACATAATTATGACATCAAAAAAAAGTTGTAAAAAAAAGATTGTAAAAATTACCCAACGTGTATATATCTCTTTTCTATAAAGCAAAAGAAACAAGTTGTTAAGTATACAAAGAAAAAAGAAAATAATAGAGCAGCAAAATATTTTAATATTGATCATAATATGATAAGACATTAAGTAATAGCAAGTTCAATCTGAAATTTTGAAACTAATAAAAAAAGTAAGAAAACTGGTTCAAGCCAAAAAGTCTTTTTTCCTGAGACTGAACAAAAGCTGTATAATTGGACTATCAAATAAAGAAAGCAAGAATTAGTTATGTCATATACAATTTTATGAAATAAAATGCTTGATATTTTAAGAGAAGCAAATATATTAAAACTTTATGAGAAAATTTCAAAATGTTTTAATATTGGTTACTAGCATTTTTAAAAAGATATAGGTTAGCATTATGATGATGTATAAGAATATCCTAAAAGTTTCCAAGTAAAACTCAAGAACTATTGAAAAAATTCCATAAATTTATTATTTATTTTAGGCTTGAAAATCATATGAATTAAAAATATTTTTAATATGAATAAAATGCTTCTTTAGTTTTATATAGCTGGTAACGTTACTATACATGAAGTCAAAATGGATCATTTCGGATATCCGAAATGGTCGAAATGGTCGAAATCATTTTTTTTTTTTTGATACTTTTACTAGGCACGCACAAGTGGTATTATATTTG